AACATATTATAACAAATTTTTTTTTCATTTGAAACCAGATATTAAAAAATATAACAGTAACGAACAAATGTATGTATTTTTATTACATATCTGTTTATTACATATTAATAAAAAAATTGTAGCATATTAAGTAAAAAAAAAACTTCAAATCTGCCGTGAGATTTGAGAATGGCACTGAAGGGTTGACAGTATCTACATACATTATTTGATACTTATATTTATTTTCTTTGCTTTACTTTACTTTTTCATTCTTGACACCTAGCTTTAGTTTTTCAAATTATCGACTGATGTTTGTTTTGCATATATGCGCTAAAGTGATTTTAGTAGGTAAATAAACAAGAGACGGTTTCCTAAATAACTATGAATAGAAGACGTGAAATCGCGAAAAAGCCGACGTTAAAGTAGGAGCGAATTGGAAGTTACTGTCGAATGTGTTTTTATAGCCATAATTTTGGCGAATTATATAAGAACATAAATTGTAAATTGGCGTGCGTGTGTTGCTCGTTAAAGGTCATCTATCTGCTAAATCAAGTTTGCGAACTCATGAATGATATTGTATACATGCGTGCATAGCTATGCCTCGTTGCCTCATCGTGCACGTGTGTCACGCGACGTTTATGCGTGCTATTTGTTAGTGGACATCGTATGTTTTCTCGAGCTATCATCTGAAAGTGTGGCTTTATCATTATGATGATTAATTGAATGAGATACGCAAATAATTTGCATTTAGTAAATACAGATTGTCCCTCCAAAAACTTATTCTGATTGTAAACAAAACAATTACGACTCAATTGAAATAATGCTATGTTAAAAAGACAACGTAAAAATTTATTTAGTAGACGTCATGCAATTAAAATATGTAATTAAAAAGATCTCTGAATATATCTAGATTTGAAATGAGGGATTTCAAATTTTGTTTAAGGTGGAAGAAGTTCCAAAATTATAGAGGAAAGTCGCCGATACTGACATAGGTTTCCTAAAGTGACACCCTCTTATTTTTCAGAAACTAACTATTGCATTTTATTAATATTAATAAAATCATGATCTGTTTAGTTAATTAAAGAAGTACAAACTTATAATTCATATATTTGTGGCTTGTTTCTATACTAAATCAGCTAAAAATCAATTCTATGAATCCGAGAAGAAAATTCTTACGGTGTTCTTTTGCAAATTGGTAATTAAAATAATAGTGATTGTATTATTGATAATATTATGTCATTTTAAATGTTTATAGTTTCATAAATTAGTTTACAGAATAGGATATATCTTTATTTATAAAATAGGAATGTTGGTATTATTGCCTACTATGTCAGTTTTGGAGCCCATTTTGTCAGACGCTCATTTTTGCATAATTTACAAAAAACTTAATTATTACAAAATTGCAAACAGTATTATAAAAATTGTTTATACTATCTGATAGAAGACACTTACTTTGTATTTATGTTTTTGAAGTTGTATTTTTACCTTTTGTTTAAGAAATATTGTCTAAAAACAAAGTGGTATGTCGATATCGGTGACCTTCCTCTATTATAATAATTAAAACTTATTTATATATTATTCGCCGATTATAATTTGTTAAACAAATTCTTTTAATTTCATGAAACACGTCAAATTATTATCTAAATTATCTAAATTTTATGGCTTATATTTAATATTATTAACTAATTTTAATTAGTTATATTTTATTATTTATATTTAATTAGCTATATTTTAATTACTTCTGTCTGCTTATGTAAAGAGCTATATTGACATCATAAAAAACTTCTTTAGCATTTTGACTGAAACAATATCATTATGACTTTTTGACAGAACAAAAAGTCATGATGATATTGAAATGACTCCAAAGTGATTATTAAAAGTCGTTTTTCGATCAGTAATGATTCACTTTAACGTCACTTTGACGTTATCATGACCTGTCGTTCTTGGGGACTTATTAGTCTCAGCCGCGTGTCAAGGGCACGCGCCGCGATTACGCGGCTAAACACCGCGCGTCCACGGTCGAGAGTGACAGGGTCGACATGATTGTACCCCTGTGCAAATATGCTTCTCTTCTTCCTTTCTTTCCTCGATAAGTTTTCGAACGTATGCAGATCGACTGCACGCTCGGCTGGGGGCCTCAAAAGAAGAGGTGACAAGAGGAGCGCGCGGGTAGGCGCGCGCGCGCGCGGATACCTCTCGGGGAGAGGGAGGACCTCGTGCTGCCGGTCGGCGAATGCGATATATGAAGGCGAAACTCGCGTACGTCGTCCAGAAACTCTCACGTGGTGTGTACCACTCGCGGGTAGCGTAGGAAGTGCGGTCCACCGCTCTTCGTATTCTTCGAGACAACCCCGGGGTGTTCTCCGAATTTCCCTTTCCACGTCGTGCGACTCGAACACCCTGCCATCGTCGAGGGTCGGTGCGAAAAGGTACGCACGAAGAGGAGGTTGCCGAGGAGGTTTGCACCTGGAGGACTTCATTGAGAGGAATCGACTCATCTTCGCCGTGGAGGATCGATTTTCCCGGGGAGATTGAGAGAAATTGAAAGTGGTGGATCGGGAGTGGTTTCGAAGATCTTATCGGACGATTTCTTATCGGAGTGATCATGAGCAAATCGTGGAAAGGTACGTGGTATAGGAGCTATCGAGGAAAAGGTTAAAGAGAGCTTCATGATGTGTTGACATAATACTTTTGAGGCTTCCACGAGTATTTTCTTCAAAGAAATTATGCGGTTTGCGGGTTATCTCTGCGTCTTGATACATCGTTAAATGTCAACGTTTGATGAACATTGCAGTTTATTTCATCGGGGCGTGAATGTGTGACATGTTGATGATTAAATGTTAAATATTTTTTATATCGAGGAAATTCTTTACATTGAAGGTATCATATCGAGGATGAAAAAACGAGAATGTGCTAGATAGACTGTTGATTAATTATAATACTTGTCATATCGCGAATAAATTTAAATATTTAATTTTATTACAGTGTATAATCTGGTTTTACGAGATTTATCGTATGCGTTTTATTCCTAAGGGCATATGTGATTAGATCTAATCAGGGAGAGAGATAGGACTTTACTAACAATAAGTGTAGTCAGATAATCGAAAATCGCAGCACAATGTTTAATAGAGGAATTACTATGCAATGTGATTTTTTCTTTTATAATCTTTCAAAATTACTTCAGATTTTTGTAAAAATTTTTTAATTTGGCATTTTAAATTATTTTCCATTGAATTCCTTTATTAAAAATTGTGCTGCGATTTTCGATTGTCTGAAGAGATTTAGTAAACATTTTCTATAAGATATAGACTTATAAATTATTGTATATAAAGCTATATAAACAAACAAGGAATGCTGTAATTATAGATTCGCGTTTCTCTTAAAAGTCTATTAACGATAAGTTCGAAAATAGAATATATTAACGATAAGTTTGAGAATAAAGTCGAAGTTTCTTATGTATGTCTTAAAAATGCAGAATAGTTCACACATCAGGAAACTTTTTTTATGATCTTTACGGTTGGATTTTTATTTCGATCGCGCCGTATAAAAAAGAGGAAGTAACCGATCAATGTTACGTACATTGTACAAGACTGAGATTCAAGGTAACGCTTGTCATGATAATGCATAAATGTATACCAAGATATGCGTCGTTTGTTAGCTAGATAGTAAATTATATAGGCAAACAATATGCACGACATTGCGATCCAAAATATAAATAATATAAGAGGCACTACGAAAAAATCACTGTTCTTATCATTTGTGATTTTTTTAAATTTTGTTTTTTTATTAATCGTTTTCATTCGTAATTTTAAAGTTTTCTACGCTAAACATTCTAAACATTTGAAATGATAAATTTCGAAAAAATAATTTGAAAAAAGGAAAAAAATATTATTACAAAAATTTATAAATTAGAGACTGCTATAAATTATTTATATCCTAAAGAGATGAGATATATAGTTATTAATCAGACAAATAAAATAATAAAATCAGGTATTAGAAAAATTTACATGAATTATTAAATATGCGATAAATTTTAAAACGCGAAAATTGTGTACAAGACTAAGATTTAAAATATAAATATTCTATAAATCAATAGATATTTAAAAGTATATTAACGTTTAGTGATCAACGTTTGGAAATTATGACTTGCGGACAAATATTATTTCGCAATAGTCGCCCTACTTAAAAGTAGTCCGACATTCATAGATATTTCAGGAAATTTTTCATGATAGTATATCGAACATGTCTTAACTTTCGTCTCTAATTAATATCAAACATATTACTTCGGATGTTATCGCGGACGTTTTTTAAGTAATCATACTTTTTAATCATAACTATAAAATCCACTTCACTGCTCTTCAATAGGAGATTGAACATATGTTTTTTGATATCTTGACAAGGGTGTGATAAAAATTTATTAGTTTCCCTCTCTTATTTGCTTATTACATTTCAACCCTTTTCGTTCAAGTTAATTTAATCCGCGAAATGATAAATCGAACTAAATCAATAAATAAACTGTGAAATTATATCTACAAAAACTACGATTAATAAACTAAGTTGCAGATTAACGAACAAATTATAAGTGAATCTAAATTTTTTATAGAAAACATAATAATTAATTTAATAAACTGTGAAAGACAATCTAAACGCGTATCAAGAATTATTAAAAAAATCATAAATTAACGAATTGTAAATAAAGTACAATTTAACGGAATAGAGACGATCATATTACGATTTATAAATTTTTACAAACTTTTTTAAATAATTGTAATTTAGATAAATTTGCTTATTTTAATTACGCCTCTTAATTTCATCTCTCCACTCGCCATAAATGTGCAGAAAGCGCAAGAAGCACTCGTTGTGAAATTGAACGAAAGTTAATTTTCTTAAATAAGTAGATTATACCGCCACACATTGCGAAAATTGAAGTTACGAAAGTTAGACGCAGATTAATTTCATCAAGTTCTTCGGGAAATGGATCGAATCGCAGCTGGAGTCGACTCTCCGATTTTCTTTTGCAGGTATGAAGGAGTTCGTTGGCCTGGAGGAGGTCACCAAGCTCGATTTTCTCGTGATGCTGTTCGCCGAGATCCTGGGCACGTTTCTGCTGGTCCTTCTAGGTTGCGCTTCTTGCATTTCATGGATAAGCACGTCGCCGCCGACTGTTTTGCACATCGCATTCACCTTCGGTTTGGCAGTGACAAGTTTAGTACAGGTGAGTCACTATTCTTGTTGTCATAAAAACAAATAATTCTGTAATTCTTCACTTAAAAAAAAAAAAAAAAAATTAATATGGTAGTAAAATTTAATTCCTACATTCTAATTCAATAATTTCATTTAAAATGTTTTAATCGGGGAATATTACAAATTTAATAATTTTATATTTGAATTTAAAATGTGTGTCATTAGCTATAATTTAATAACATATTTGATATAAAAGAAAAATAGAATATAAATCAGATTTTAGTTTTCTAATTTATTTTCTATTTCTAATAGAAATGTGATAGGTAACATATCCGTAACAATTATTTGTAGTAGATGTTGTGAATACTTTGCGATAAAAACAGATAAAAACTCGAATAAGATAGATTTGCCAAAGATATTTTTGCGTACTGAAAAATAAAACTAAAGTCTTGTTAAAATTATGATATATTCTTTTCGTTTTATCACGGGTATTTTGTCTGTATGTGTATTCCTATTATTGAAACAAATAATTTATATATAGAAGACAATTGTGACAAGAATATATAAGGACGTATATCGACTGAGATTTATTTGTCCAGCATATTTTATTATTCGCTCCACGCGAATTCTTATCTTTTTTGCTCGTAAAAGTGTGTTCGTATGTAAGTACGTACGCGAGCTCAGTTTTGTTTCCTCGAATATCTTTTATTTTTCCGAATCTGAGAAAAACGCATTTCTTGAAAAAATTGTCTTTTGTATAAATAAATATACACAATTTGAAAATTAATTTTTGTCATTTAGCAATTAATTTATTTGCAATATTTGCAATATTCTACATGCACGAAGTATATAAATGTGCGAATATATATATAAATGTACAAGTATATAAACTTTTTGCAATACCAAGTATGTTTAACAGCTAAATGATGAATTTTAATTATTCGTGACATTTTAAAAATTAATGCATATTCTACAGTTAACATAATGCAAAAAATCTATAATGTAAAAAACTTATTTTAAACAGAATTATAATTAAAAAAAAATAATTATTGATTAATAGTTGCTGTCTTAAGCAATAATACACAAAGCAAAACATCTTTCCATTAATTATCTAGACATTTTAATTAATCTGCAAAAACATAATTTTTGAAAAAAATGTTTCTATTTGAAAAGTATTAAAATCGCATAAAGCAACGCACTTTTGTAAAAAAAAAAACAGTTAGACTGAAGGACTCCACGCAGCATACAGGAAAATTTTAAAAATACTGAAAAAAGAATTATTCTCTAGAACCTTTTAATCGACCGTTCGGTGTATTTAACGGAGACAGATATATGAGAAATAAGCGTGTAATGTCATATCGTTGTATGTCATGATTAGTAATTAATTAATGACTGTTTTAACCTTTTCTTTTTCTGCGGAGCACCTCTCGTACAAACCTGATTTTCGCACCGTCAAACAAGCTATGTCGATCATGATTACGTTTCAAATGTTCGCTGAATGAATCAGAGACACACGTTTGTTGTAAAGAATGATGTTACAGAGCTTATACTTATAAAGACGTATAAATTCTGGAGGAATGATTAATTGTTAATACTTTTTATATTTTAGATAAATGGTTAAAGTGATTTATACCTTTAATGCTATATGTATAATAAAATTCATGCAGAACCGATTATTGGTAGCAAACAGTAATTGTTAATTCTTTCTCTACAGACTTCATATTTATTTTAATTTGTCTTATTTCAATATAATATATATTTTTAAAATATATTTTCATACACATATACTAACATGTGCTTTTTTAACACATTTGAACATTTCAAAACAGGGATTTCCATTCCCTTCGCTTAAATTTCGCGACTCGTCTAGTCTCCTTTCATGAATCGACTTTTATGGATTAAGAGGTTCGACACGCTGCGTTTTATATGATGTAATTTTTCTTTTATTAATGTTTTTACTTTTATTTGTATTTCATCATTAGAACCGCTGGTGGTGCCATTTTGATTCTAAAAATTGTTTTAATTTTTTGTATTAGATATACAGTATGGAATATTGAGAGAATATGTGAATATAAAATACAAATAATTCTAACGACATAAATAATACCAAAATAACTTTTTACCAAAAACAAGGATAAGAAATAATCAATTTGATACCATCAGCGATCCTAGTATTAAATAATATTAAAATAAAATATTGAGAAAAAAGGCAGATAAAAATTAGATTGTAGATTGACGTTCGCTTGCAAATTTCCTTTATAAAAACCATCACCAACAGAGTATTTTTGCGATAATCTGCTTATGTAGAGCATGAGATACACAAAGTATGACGTATTTTAATCAAAATTATCGTTCTGTAAAAAATTTGAAGAGTAACAAAGATAAGATAGAACTGATAAAATGAGGTAACCTTTAATCGCATTTTGATCGAAATCGAATACTCTGGAGGATATGCTCGTCCGTTATATAGTATCACGTACAATTCTTGCGGATGATTAATTCTTATCGGTAGCGATCGCCTGAAACGCTTTATGAAGAAATTGCGAAATCATCATTCAAGAGTTGTTTTTCTCGATTTCTTTAATTTTTTTACACATCACGTCGATTGTGTTGTTATTTTAATTCTTTCGTTATTATATCTTATACTACGAATCAAAAGAGAAAAAAGTAAAGAAAATGAGTCATATATATATAGTAACAAAGAATGTATAGGAAAATGTGAAACAGTATACAATATTAATATTAATATCATAATAAGACAATATTGAATGAATAATAGCTAAAATTGCATTACTAATCGAGATATTGCTGCTTTTTTCTATTTTTGCATTTAGGAATAAAAATGTCAATTAGAAGATCTTTTGTAGCGTTCTCAGAGGCAAATTTTCGCAACAAGTTTCTCACAATTCCGCGCACTTCTACTCATAAGTGCACTCTCGATATGCGATTGCATGAGCAAGACCGGATCGTCGGTCGTTCATTGAGATGGATAAATAGACAAGAAACAACGGGGGGAAGGGAATCATCCTTAAATCGCACTCGCAGCTCGTCCTTTCGAATTCGCGAGCTGACCTCGTCCTCGAAACAGTTTATAGCGCGCTGCTCTGTCGACATGCGAACTTTCGGCGAACGGTCGGCCGATTTGTGAAGAGCACTCGTTCGGCCTCCTTTGTATCAATCAGAATCCATGCGACGCGATTACGAGGAGATGAATGGTCACTTCGTTAACTGGTTCGAATATTTTCGCTAACGATTGTTGTCGGGCGTGGGAAGGATCGGGATAAAAACTGTCGTCCCGAACTCAAACTTTGTTCGCGAATGTAGCACAAACGAAAGTAAAAGAGTAAACTAATTGTTATAATTAGTACTGACATTAATAAACATTACCACACAGTAATGTCAGCTCTCTTTAATTTGATGTTTTTTCCTAAGAATTTAAAAAAATTATATATAAAAACAATAAGATCAAAATTAATCAGATTAATGAAATGGTACAAACGAATCAATAATATTAGCAAGCCACGAGTAGAATGTTTTTCAGATACATTTAATCGAGATGATTCATCACATCGATTGACGCAAATTTAATTCTCCCCGTTGCCAGTCTTCTTTAATTAAGAGACCAGTCTTTTTAAATTGACTACATCGATCGTCCGACCATTTTTCCCCGCGCTCGATCCATTTTCCGCTCCTGTCGATCTGTGCCTTTCGTGAAAGGATCGTGAACTTCGGCTTTACCACGGCGACGTTTTAATTGACGCACATGTGTGGGCCGCCCGGGCTCCGTGTGGTGGAAGGGTAAATAAGGCCGCCGATTCGCCCAAGGGGGTCTAACTCCGTCCGGAGATGGTGCAATTGTGCCCCCGGGGCTTTTGACAACCTACTCGAAAGATCCGGAGCTGGTGCTCGAGAGTCTAGCGCTCACTATTATTCCATCTGTGCGTTATTGATACTTCACTTTCCGACAGCTCGTAACACGGATATAATCGTCTATATAGTGCTCTAAAAATCGCATAGAAATTTTTTTATTCTGGGAGAAAGGAGATGAGGAGGGACATATAGATAATGAAATTAAAGGAGAGACGACAGGGTTTCAAAATAGTGTCTAAAAAATATCTTTTTCGAAATTTTAAGAAATTGATATCTTAAAATAGAAGTCTAGTAAAACTTAGATTTAACTTTTTCAAGAGCTCATTTTAGTTTATCAAATTTATATTATATTTAATGTATTTCGTTAGTTTTTTTTTTTGAAAAAGTAATCACAGTTGCATAAAATTCTCCAATCGCATTCAATCAACATTATAATTTCTACAATATAATATTATTTCTACAATAGTCATATTACACAAATATTATTACAATATATTAAATGTATTACGATTAAGTTGTATTGAATTTTACTGTTATTAACTGTAGTCTTTATTGCATGTATTTCAATTTTTACGTAAATATTTTTATAAAATTTCCCAGATATTTCTTGAATTTATAATTTTATATATTTTATTATTTTTTAAAACTTAAAAATTTTAGGAATATGCAAATTAAAATTAATTATTTTTCTAAAGTCAATAATCAACGATAAATTTTTCCCAAATTAAAATGTAAGTTTTATTTGGTGGTCCCATTTTCTGGCAAAAATCGTTTACATTTTCTCAGGTGTGTCTCTATGTGATAGATGTCTCTTTTAAAACAATTTGTGCTTTTGTAAGCTTCTGACAAATTGATATTCTGGATGCTAGAGTTATAATACTTATATGATACTTTTCTTTCTCTATCCTCGACATTCAATTATAAGTATCTCAATTGTATGCCATAATCGTCTTGAAGTATTGTTTAGTCACACGTTGGTGTCGCCTCGAACGACGACTCAGTCAAAAATTCTCCGCTTGAGTTCTAAGACACGTTCTCGATCCAAAAGTTTCATTCAAAAGAACGAGAAATGAATGTCCAAAGTCTCGTTCGTACTAACGGATAGTGTTGTCTATATAGCGATCGGTTTTGTCGTACCAATCGTTTTGCGCAGCCGGCGTG